GTTTGTCAATGTTTGTTCACAAACATTGGAACTGTTAGCTCTTAACACCTTCGCTAGCTCGTTGCTTGTGTAAACAATCGCAAACTATCATCGACATCAAAGATGAGCTAGAGAATGTCCTCATCGGGATTAACTTGGGTTGAAACAAAAAAATAAGCCTGTTAAGAAGCTTAAGTGGCCACTTGAGAGGCGTCGTGGCTCCTTCCGTTAGTACCTTCCATGCTTTGACGGAAAACACGTGCTTTAATATAAATGAAGTCGATTCCCCGATTAAACCGCGGCTCCGCCAGGATTGCACCATCATTATTCCAACCGTGTATTTATTCCTTATTCCTATGCTACACCATGGATACACTAATATGTAAATATCACCCCAACAACAGCGACGATACAATTTATTAACTCATAACATTAACAACCAACTGAAGGAGGTTAAAAACTAATATATGCTTTGAGACACAGTCCCTCTATAGAGATACAGGGACTGTGTTTGAGAGGACGTTTAGTTTGCGCACACCTCAATGGTACAAGCTAAAAGGGCAAACACGTTAGCCCGTGCACAATTATTACTGTGACCTGTGTTAAGAAACCTGCGCGAGTAGCGAGCGCTTAGACACGGGTTAAATCTCATTTGTTTTTTAGACCCGGTCCTGGCGGGCTAACGAAGTGTCCGCTAACGCTTAGCCATTGTCCCTGAACTGTTGAGGGACGGTGGCTTAGCGCGGCATAAGAGCCCAAAATAACATTCTATCCAATGTGTATTTGGCATTCAACGCGAGCACATCTAGTGGTATTGTTCTCGAGAAAAAAATTAACTGACAATGATATTCTGTGCTACTTCCTGTTACTAGTATTCTGCAATCTGATTTTGCCTTGGTAATATTTTATATTCGTAGAACTATAATACCTTCCTGGTTACTCTATGTACCGGAGATTTGTATATTCTTGACATGTTTGGGCATTCTTGTAGCCCGTACTGTTTTCTCCCGTGCATCTCAGACCACTTATAAATTATTCATTAGCGGTCTGAGACATACATGACGGCAATTTGGTCTAGCCTAGATGCAAACAGGTTAGCTTGGATCTTAACCCGTATTTTGTGTAGCCTGAACACGACTATTAATGATTTGATCATGGAAGGTTGTAGGACGCTGTAATTGTTCTCCCATGTTCCATCACAGTTACTAAAGTCCTTTGCAAAAAACTTTTAGTAACCGTAGTTCCATGATCATTTCGAATTATTTACTTGGTAAACATTCCCATAATGCAATTACATAAATAATTAACATTCAAGGCAGCTCGAAAGCAGGGTTTTACCACAGGGCTGTGGTTTTACGGAGATAAATTGACACTAAAATCACACAACATGACCTAATCACAGATCTTTGTAAAATAAATATATTCTATCCCAACAACACGTTTTCATGATTCTACCATTTCACACGCACAACGTATTTAAAACTAGACCGAACTAGACCGAAAACAAAAATGCAAAACTAATGCGTAAAAATCACGTTTTTATCACCTACTGATGCTGGAAAACAACTAACAAATATTTTGTTTCTAGTGGCAGGCTTTGCCAATGACCTATGACGCTTTAACTATGCTGCGGGTGTATATTGCTGCCCCTTTTCTCATGCGCATAGCAATTGCGGTCGCGATTTATTTTTTCAGCTCTAACAATTTGATTGAGAAGTCAAGCCCATTTTGCTGAGTAAATAAGTGAAAGTGGTGACAGATTGAAAGGAAAACCACACAATGACGAGAGGACTTGAATTTGAAACAAAAGGCTTGAAACAATTTGGATTACTATGCGTCTCTACCCTCCTCTACTACCTTTCATCACAGTCCCTCCACAACGGGATTGTGCTTTCATGAATGTTCAACACTAAATGCAGTTTTGTAGGTATTTTTCGCTCGTGGTCGACAGTGGAGCACTATTCCTTTAAAACATTAAAGTTACGATATTGCTAAGATCATAAGTGTACGGGCCTTGTATAAGTTGTAATCGTTTCTCCTTACTTGTGCAATGAGGTATGAATTGTTGGAATGTTTTGTTTTTATTTGTTTGTGTTTACTACTATGAAAGTTATAAAAGGTGCGTGTACCATAAATCATCATCGCATATAGCCATTACACGATTTATTGGCGTACATGTTTATTTTGCATACATTTCCACAGTACCTACCTCCATGGGGTTTATAGTTCCATGCTACGTCAGACCACTAAAAGAATAGTGTTCTGTGGCCCAACCAAATCATGTACTTAGTTAAATTACTTACGTAATTGGCACCTTGCTTAAATCTCAAACAACTGGTTGTCTGAGCTTACATAAACAAACCTATGAAATTGAACAAACAGCTCGGACTTAACACTTCGAATTAAACCCATGATTGTCCAGCCATAACGACTGTTTAAACATGTTTTTTTTTGTGACAATCATAACAATTGTATATTCACGGTTGTGTACGACAAAAAAAAAACGTATTTTAATCTAATTACTAGTATCATAAACCGTGATATTTTGGGCATATGAAGATAGAGGGCGTACTTTTGTTGACTTACCAGGGAGTTGGTAGTTGTCGCACATATTGCAGATTCTGTCTTTAATATCCATTCCTGTACGCCGACCTGTTTCAATTTTCAGACAGTAGTTGCCAAGTCTAAACTTTGTTAAAGATTTGCGTTTACTGTTTTTCATAGTTGTTAAAGGAAACATCAATCCAAACAACATAATGACGCCTATAGAAAAAGCTCCACAAATGTAGGAGAATGCAATTTACAGTGTTTTTTTATATCACTTTCCATTCTCTAGATACTCAACTTTTCATCAGTATTAATATGCAGTCAGCCATCTTGATTTTCAAGCAAAGGATTATGGGTAAACTATGAGATCATAGAATCTGTTTTCAGAAATTGAGAAAATGAAAACTGTCAATTGCATTCTCCTACATTTGTGGAACTTTTTCTTTACGGGTTATTATGTTGATTGGATTGATGTTTCCTTTAAGCAGTTTTCTTGTTCTATTTTGTAGGTTCTTAGTTTATTTTTTAGAATTTATTTATTTCATTTTCCACTCTGTTGTAAACTCTTCTTTTAATTTCTCATCAATTCTTTTTAATTTTGATAATGAGATAATATTCATTTCATTCAACAGATAAGAATGGTTAATATTTGTTAACATTGAATGAAGTTTTGAATCAAGGGCTTACTCAGGGGAATGTAACAGTTATTGCTGGTTGAGTGACGGGTTGAGTAGATCAGTGGGAAATTTGGTCGGGATAGTTATTAAAATTATGTGCAAAATTAAGTAATATTACTGCGCGTCGCCAGTCTTGTTGTACGTCCCTTTAACCTCGGACTATTATAGACGTATATAGTCTGAGATTCAACCCACGCAATCAACATAAACACTATAATGTACGTTGTACTTGTTGTTGTTCGAGATTTCTAAACAATTGGTAATGAAAATTATTATTTTTAATAATATAATATAATTATTGTCAATATTTACAACAATTCTGAAAGATTGTTAAATATTTTTTATTTATTTACTTAAACCGTCGTGCAACGGGGTCGTTTCGGTAAATTAATATTAGATAATTACGTGATGTAGTGTCTAACCATAGACCCTCTAAAAGAGGGTCTATGGTCTAACCATGAATATTTTCACCCCTATACTAGTACATGTATTATAATCCAGTCTTGTTTTTTCATGGAGTGCGAGCACGTGACACTCTTTGTCTTGTTTGATCCGTAACTGGCAGCTCCATCACCCCCGGTGTTACCCTGGATTCAACGCGAGACTGAATCTCAGGGCGGACCGACTGAACACGATAATCACGGCACAGTAACTCGTGTCACGCATGAAAGGCTTCGTTGTTCACTACAACAATATGTCAAATATAATGCATTGAAACTCAACCTGTTTGTATTCCGCCCGTGGACAACACACACATACACCACACCATTCATTTGAATGGCCGTGTTTATTTTTGCCGAGATAGGGACTCCTGTATTTCGAATCCAAACAATGACGTCATTCCAAATGTGAGCTCACTCATTGAAGGTGTGGTGGTCATTTGACCGTTGTATCCGATCTTACACACTATGTTAGCCGGTCCGTTGTTTTTCAAACAAGATGCTCATTTGTTTGAGTCCTGCATGTGAGCAGTGAGGGGGTGAGTAGCCCGGTCACTCATCCATTTTTCGATTAGTCATATACCAAACTATAACACTGCGTGGACGTACTGTATTATTGCCATACACCCATTCCGTTCAGCATTTTGAATCAGTTTCGAAGACACGCACTTATAAGGTACGCAGTTTATTTATATAAATGAGATATGTATGAGAAGCCATGTATAGCACATGGCGGGGAAGCGATATACTGGTAAGACATTGGGTATAACCTCTCCCAGCATCGTTGAGGATTATTTGGGGGTACATTATAGGTTTTCGCAACTCGTGTTGATGTACTATGATCACGTCCGCGATACGGTATGTTTCTTTTTTCTCTACTGTAGAGTTTTCGGCACAGCGGCGCTACGTCTAGCCCGTCGGGCTTTACAACCGAGGAATCGCCGCTGTATAAACTTCAGTGTAATAAGATCCGACTTTATTTACGTTGAATGTGACATTTACCCTATTGTTCATTACACCTACCCCCCGAGAATGATACTTGTTGTATGTTGTAGTTGCCGTGTATAAGCCATCGATCATATTTTAGCAACCATGTCCAGAGTCCAACGACATTAGTGACTTAGAGTAAATAACACGGTATTAATCTTCAATCTGTACGAAGTTCACTGACCATGCAATTATTTTCTATAATGCAGGTACAAGTGTCCGTGTTATTACTGCGTTCTTGA